CTCAGATATTTATACTTTGTACCGAGATTCCAGACCGGCATTCGTCAAACTTGTGTGGTTTGAATGCATTTTCTGTTCTCGTATTTCGCGCATATTTGAAGATCACGGCTTTATATTCCAGAGCTTCAAATTTAGTTGACAAGAACATTCAATTTGCTACACAACGATGTCTTATTTTTATGTATTTTAAAACAGAAATAAGATTAAAGTGGTCGTCCATTTTCATTAACCCTGTTGGGTTGGAATATAGTATGTTAAAGTATCTGAGACAGATTATAAACAATAGTCAGAAGTGAAGAAAGATTAAGTTTTTCAACTTAAACGCAAGCCGACCTAATAGTTTCAACATTTATACCTCTGAGAAATGCCATAACACCGACATAGACAAAAATTCGCCACAAATTAGAATCAACCAATTAACAAAACGGTTAAACTTAAACATAATTTTAATTAATCTGATTAAAATACTATATTTCGTTTCGTTTTTATTATACTTTCGATGGCCTACACTACACGAAGATCTGAACGTTTGTAGCGATAGGTCGCGTCAGAGGTCATACGAGCGGCTTTTGACCCTATGACGTCAGACATTTGATTAACCAATCAGCATTGATATCACTAGTGGATTACCCACAGTTCCGTGCAAAACACGCCTGAAGTTCGCTGTAACAGACCGTTTCATGACATTGGCTGATAGCTCACGTCATTCAGAACACGTCAATGATAACAACTCTTCCAGATCCTAGTGAAGTAAAGACAAGTAAAACAAAATTTGAACTATAAAAACGAAACGAAATAGGATCTGTGTTTTAACCAGATTGAATATTAATCTGATTACCAGGTTGAAAAAAATATACAGCTATCAATCATGTAATCAACTAGAGATAATAAGAAATCAGTACATCGAAGAGGAATATCCTTTTTCTCATCTGTCTGACAATCACTGCGTAATTTCTGTTTTTACACCACACATGTTAAGATCAGTGATTATCATTCACCATTTAATTATAAGGCTTCAAACATTCACACAGCCCCGATTCTAAAAGGATAAGAAAAACAAAACGCGCGGTCATAATTGGCCAGGAAATAGAGGCTAAATGATAGAGTTTCTTTTAATCCCGCAAGGTTTCATTTCATGTTCCGATCTAAGCATTTTTTCATCAAACAATTACCAGATAACTGGACTTTCCACGTGTGTTTAATAAAAGGTTTTGCTCGTAACATGTATTAAGATAAAAAATCATCGGCATCCTGCCATTTGAGTTAAAAATCACGAGAAATCGATAGTGATTTTTATAGCTCAACTTTTACATATAACCGTTTTAATAGAAACAAGAAACATGCCTATAATATCTGCCATCGGTAAAGATGGTGTTTTATATTCTCGATGTACATGTAATGGTAACACACATTATCAGCACAATAATATTGCCACATGGACGATTATTTCCATTGCTCTAGTATATTCGAAGTGGCATTAACATAGACAATGGAGGCTAAGATCCCGAAGGAACTGCACCATGTTGCAAGGTAGATGGGCGTAGCCCCTAGAGATAATCTGCTTTCTATCCTCTACACCTATACGTGTAGTCGGTGTAAGAGCCTAGAATTAATATATATATACATAGTTCTATCGATCCTATTGATTTACTATCAATATATCGAATTCAATTTACTATATTTAGAGGAATCTCGCCTTCGTATAGTTGCGAGTTCTAGTTATGACTTGAGTGACTACGCTTTGATCCGGAAAACTATGGCGGTGGCAAAGGATGTTGAATGAGTGTGTAGAAACATCCGACGGGCATAAAAAAAATAACGTATGCGGTTTCCAGTCTAAGCCAGACATACCCAAGCTCCACGAGGCAATTTACCCCTTTCTGATCGATGCTAAAATGTTATTTCTGTGATGGTATTTTTTATCCAGGACATATTTCACAAAGAATGTTTGAAACCTTTGAAGGGGGTATCCAGCGAGTGCCCTTCTGGTGCCTTCACTGGGAGAAAAGGCGGCGGAAAGCAATGACAGAACTTTATTTCACTCTCAATTAAGAAAGTCTTGTCCCACACTAAACAAACAATCTTAGCTACTACCCACAGGTCAACAAGTAAGTTCAGAAACTTATAAAGAAGAAGAAATTGTCATTTAAAAGACCCAGTTCCGGTGCATTTTTTGCATCGATTGAGTACAGTCAGATCATGTTTTACTTTTAGTAACATGAGATCAATGGGACAGGTTGTGATCTATGACTCTTGTGGACTTTCACTAAGAAGGTAGACAACAAAACAGATATGATCATTTTGAAAGGATTTATATTCATTTTTTTTATCAAAGTATCAAGACGGTATGAAGGCATCAATTTACCCTCGTAATAGCCTCAAGAATCCTATACTTTCTGTCGATATTACATAATGTCATTCCACTTCGTGTCTGAGAAGACTTAATTCATGGCTGAGAGGGAAGGCGTGTAGAAATGACAATTAGATCCTAACTCAAAATCAATCCTAGGCTAGACATGTGAGATAGTTTATCAATGACCATTAACAAATCAGAGTGACTATGTAATCACGTTTCTTGCACCAAGGGTATCGATAAGAAGTGTGATATGCTTTTGAAAATATGTTGGTTATTGATAGAAGACGGTGTCAATTAGAGTTGCGTGCAATCATGTATAAACATAACAGAATACAACCCTAATTATTAACATGAACACTGAAACATAATCTGAATGTATTCAAGACACGGTGTGCTCAATCTGCACTTCTAGGTTTTACTCATGGTCTAAAAGGGTCCGATGGTTGTTGTGCGTTTTATTTATATCGTCTTCTTATAATTGACTTGCATAATATCAAATTTTCAGCACCCACTACGTCTTTTCGGAACAAACATATCGTTTATTTTATTGCATTAAATAGGTAGTGGGGCGGAATGGAGTACCCTAGATTGAACCAAACTGATCTACAGCGCACTCTTTTGGCCACCTGACCCCAAGTTCTGGAAATGGAATGATTGTCATGATAACTTAAAACACAATGTCCACCAGAAAACTATGTATGTATAGAAATATATCAAAGTGTATAGCAAATTGTTAATATGGAGTAATGTAACATATTAATAGGTGACATGCATAATGTACTTATTAATTAATAAAGTTATTTATTAATTATTCCGAAAATCATAGACATACTCTAATACTGCTGTAATAAACAAAGTCCAGCTCCTCATTGGATCAACGGTGGCCACATATAACCAGCCTCTGTCGCCCCATGAAAATGTGGAATCAGTCTTCCCAATCCTTTGCAAACCTCCATCAGACGAAAAACATCAATATCTCTCGATATATTATAAATTTACTGCAAGATATATACACTGTAAAGTAATGAACACACCCAAGGTCACCATGCCATGTCACCCATTCATTCAAAAATAAATCAACAGATGGGTTAAAGATGCATTATATAAGATTTAGATAAAAGAGCTGGCCGTTCTTGCTATAATATTTCAAGCCTAGATAATGAACAATGAATATATTGAAAATTCCATTCAAGCAACGACACTTGACAACTAAGACTAAGCCACTGAGCAACACTTGTGTTGGATATTCGGCGCTATATAAATGATACATTATTATAATTATTTAGTAATAGATGTCACAAAACAAAAGAGCCGAATATTGTTAACTTTGGTGACTAATCAAAAGCTGAATCTGCCAATTTATAGATATTAAAGATAGAGCTAAGTGATCCTGATTTAAGAATAATGACTCGGATTGGTGTGACAGAAAGCTTAACGTCGGAAGGCGGCGCGACCTCACACAAATGAAGCGTCTATGTCAGAGAGACGGTTTTGGTCTAAAACCCCAAGAGATGAGACTAGAGATGTACTTTTACTCCAAGTTTAACTACTTTAAGGGGCAATAAGAAATTGAAATATGTAATAAATCCAATAAGATAATATGGAACACAATCCCTATTTTAATTTAATGCGAAGTTGTCATCATTTGCGTGATCACGTACAGGTGATTCTTATGAAACGTCGCTTTAAATTAAAATACTTATTGTGTTCCATATTATCTACAATAAGCTGTGGTATCAGGAAGTGTGAATATACATGTAATTGATAGGTCAGTGTTTCAGACAAACTGTCAGTTACAACCATTAAATTACCACCATTAAATGCAATTTCCTGTTTTTGTTAGAATATATATATATATATATTTATATATATATATAATATCTTTCGGACCATAGCGGCGGGGGGGGGGGGGGGTATGGGTGCAGGGGACGATGGGGTTGAATAGTCTAACTCGCGTTCTATAGTAGGTTTACTCCGTGTCATCTTGTATTACCTAACAGGTACAGATTATGTTCTTTTAAAATAAAAGCGTGTTGTATTATATTTTTTTTAAAATCACACGTAGCGTGTTATATTCGGAGCTCCACATAATCACTTCCAATATAACTCGAGGACAAAAAAAACGTTCATTCCGTCATCACATTTAAACAAAAAGCCATGTTAATCTAGAAACATAGACTTCGCGACAATAAATAAAGCGCCCAAAGACAGTCTTGTCGTTCATTCTATTCATAGAGGTTTTCTCTTGTTGAACGATTTAGAAATAATTTCTCCAGAACTTCAAATAATCAAAGCATGGTCCCGTAGGTTGTTTCCAAGGTTTGATGCTAGATAGGCTTTTGGCTAATTCAACAATCCCGACTAGTATTAAAGATGCATTATGTAAGAGCTAATTCAACATCTATACCAACGTATGTCTTTAAGCATTGGCGAAGTTTGCCTTGATGGATTGGGTGCTATTGTTTGCTTATTTTCTATTTAATGCCTGGTAAAGTGGAACCACTGGTTTAATTTAAGGAGTTACATGTTTGCACACCCATAATATTTTTTAGACATCTGGTGTATTTCGTATTTGTTCAGTTTTAATATTGGAAATATACCTAATTACTGAAGGCGTGCATCATATTGTAAATAAATGGCTTACCTTATGGTAAAAGACCGACTTTTTATGGTAATCTATCCACCGGTGATCCCCAGACAAAGAAAATTACAGAAAATGACACATAACCAATTTACGGGTACTTAAATGTCGAATACTCAGCGCAACTGTCGTCTGCTTCGGAATGTTCACGTGTCCGGATACTGCGCGTGATCTTGTTCAGTATTATTGTTCACAGTCGCAGTATGATCGATCTACTCTCATCGGCTTAAGCGAACCATTGATTTTTCCAACACTATTAAAAAGTTTCGGGAATGAAAGGTTTTCCGCTCATACTGATTCTTTTTTTTAAAATTATATTATATATTTTTTTTTATTTGGTCTTCGATTTATCATTTCCGTCAACATCATTAGCGACGATTGACTTGAATTTGTGCTGGGTTTAATTAATTTTTGAAGATGTAAAGAAATTTTAACAAATTAACATTAATTTGAACGTCATTGTTTACGTGGGCGATTCAAAATATTAACGTAGGGGCGTTCTATAGGCCAGGAATCGAGTCTGACGTTATTGCCGCTGAAGTCCGCCAGTCGATGGTACAAGGAACAAACATGTTTCTCGTAGATCGTACTTGAAATGATGGAGCCTTGCTCCGAAGAACAAGAATGCATAGAACAAGAATAAGATGAACAACACGATAAGCAAAGAAAATTGTCAATGTCAATATAAAAGTCAATGGTTAATCTATCTATATATATTTGTGACTGTCGTTTGTCTGTCTGTCTGTCTGTTCGGGGTTGGCGGTTACACTAGGTCTGCCCCGAGTCTGAAATTTGGGGTATAGGGGTAGCTCGGGCCGGGGAGTAACATAGGCCAGGTGGCGTTAGTCTACCACTTCCGGTTTCGGAGTTATGACCCCCGAGCGAAGCCGGTCTGTTCGGGGTTGGCGGCTACAGTAGGTCTGCCCTGAGTCTGAAATTTGGGGTATAGGGGTAGCTCGGACCGGGGAGTAACATAGGCCAGGTGGCGTTAGTCTACCACTTCCGGTTTTGGAGTTATGACCCCCGAGCGAAGCCGGGTATCCTGCTAGTTAATTACATAATCGTGTTTATTAAAAAAAAAGTCTCACAACTATTTTGAAAAATGTTACACATCGTCGTCTTTTTACCATCCTTTTTGCTACTTTTGGACCCTGAAATGTTGTGCCATAGCGCTTTTATGAATCTACGTGTATGCTAGAACACGAAGGTGTATATTTGGTGTGATTTTAACCATTATAAAGACTGGAATTTAATCAATATTTTTTATGAGATTTTCTAGGAATTTTCATATTCTCGTCTGTCTGTCTGCATGCTGGTTGATCTACGCGCTACATTTAGGTAGGTGGGACCTTGCAAATCTGTAAATGATGTGATTCTATGGTAAAGGTGTATACACTTTCTGAAATGATTCATTAGTGAAACCAAACATTGCTGTCGAGTCGAAGATTTTTTAAAATCAGATTTGACATATTTTTTTTTTACTATTCACTTGACTAGTACTGATGGTAGATAACTGCCATCATGCTGTGATAGAACTAAGTTCAGCTCAGCCAGTCATACGTACGCGGCGCGAAAATCTGCCAAAACTCTAAAACTATATTGACGAAACGTATCACGTATCACGGATGGGACCCCCCCCCCCCCCCCCTTTGCCAAAAGTCTCTATCTCCTGGTCCGTATCGCGTATCCGTATAGATTTTGCGTGTTACGTCATCAATGCGTGTGTATTTCTCATACATGATACGGCACACGGATACGGATAGACGCTGAAATGTTGTGCCGTAGCGTTTTTTGTGAATCTATGTGTATCCTAGAACACGAAGGTATATAGTTGATCTGATTATAACCATGATAAAGACTAGAATTTAAACATATTTTTATGATGAGCTTTCGCGGAAGTTTCATATTTTTCCTCTGTCTGTATGTCTGCCTGTCTGCATGCTAATTGATCTACGTGTTAAATTTAGGGAGGTGGGGCCTTGCAAATCTGTAAAAGAGGTATATACTTTCTGAAATGATACATAAATGAAACCAAAAATTGCTGTCGAAGTCGAACATAGTGAAATCGTTTACAATGTGATTAGCGAAAAGGGATTTAAAAACAAAAATAAAAAAAATAAAACAAATAAGTAAGAAAAACATAAAGATTAAGAAAATAAATAAATGAATAAAAACTGAAATTATATGGCATTCTGAAGGAATGATCATATAGTTGATCGTAACATATATATATATATATATATATATATATATGGTCTTAAAGGCAATCTTTATTTTGAGTGCATATTCAAATACAATAAAACATTTAAGATAGTTACATGGATGTGCAATCATTCGTAATTTAAAAATATATATAGTATAGTGTAATAAATGAGACGCAATGTGGTTTGCGTTTCCCTCTGTTGGATCTTTTTTGCGCTTCACCCTGCTTTGGTTGTTATTTTATTTTTGCACAGGACGGAAGGTTTCCCTCTTAGGGACAGTTTTGCGACCCCCCCCCCCTGCTGTGTATCTTTTAATTAATAAGTTTATTTTCCAGATGGTTAACGTTTCTCTTCAGGAGACATTTTTACATTTCACCTGGCATAGCCTTTGCATATCATTATATGCGTTTTGCCATACCTATTTGATCAATGAAGTCCCAGATAAGCCAAGAAATCCAATGTCTATCATCCGGGGATGCGGAAAGCTGAGCATCGAGTTAAAGTGTTTTATCCCTCCCTAGCAAATTGTCAACCATTAATTGACGTTCGTTATTTAATTGATCACCATCGACTAATAAATAGGTGTGAAGGGGTTGCAGTATGTCCACACAGACATTTGATCGGTGTATAGGAATAGTCTTTGACTACGTCTATTGTTTTTAGCCTCGTGATGAGCTTGCAAACTTTGATTAAAGGGTGATTGACGTAAACTTTGTCTACAAGATTGCCATCTATTTGATAGCAGTGGGTGTTTTCTTGTTTTAGACGCAGTTTCCATGCATTTCCATCTTCTTTTTTGCTATGCTTGTAAATTCCTGCCAACTGTATTCTACATCTGGAAGAGTTGTTATATAACCCGCGTTCTCCTTGAAATGGGGGAGTAACCAATGAAACCATCTGTTACGGCGACTTCTTGGCGTGCGATGCCCAGAACTGTGGGTAAGGCACTAGAAACGGCAACCCTGGTTGAATAATCAATGTCTGATGTCATAGGATCAAAAGCCGCACGTATAACCCCTGACGCGGTCTCCCAGTACAACTGGTCAGATCTTCATGTAGTGTAGGGCATCGAAAGTATAAAAAAAAACGAAAAGAAAAATAGATCTGTATTTTAATTTGATTGTACTGATGTTGATCTTGGTAGATAACTGCGATCATGCTGTAATAGAAATAAGCTCAGGTCAGCTACCCATACGTACGCGGTGCGAAAATCTGCCAAAACATTGATGCAACGTATCGCGTGACGAAACGGATACGTGATACGGATAGGGAAAATTCCACTTGCCAAAAGTCTCTACTCCCATTCGCCACGTCCGTTCAAATTGTGTGTGAAGTGATTTTCAACACTGTGAACGTGATAGAGGCTATAGTTTTTTACTGGATTTATTTTCAAATTTGTTGTGAAGCATTGTCTTTTTAAAAGGATGAACCCAAAGTATTATGAACACAGTCAATTTAAAATTGGGTGTAAAGCATTTGAATCTGAGCGGATGAACTCTGTTGAATTTATACAATGAGATAGGGGCACAAAGGATCGTTTTAAAATTTGGTCAACATTCATGTTTTCCTTTCGGATAAGGTGCTGTTTATGGCAATCTTACATTCGAGACATAGCTGCTTTGCGGGCCTATTTGCACTCTTTGCGTGACTATCTTTAATAGTGGCGCGACCCATGACCCACAAGCAAACGTGATTATCTGGTGATAGATCATTAGTGATGTTTTTATTATAACATTAGAGGTATTATGGGATCTTTAACGGGCAATAACAATTTGTATACGACATCGGGGTTTCTTAAAATTTCCTTGTCTCCCCCACTGGCTTCACCTCTGGCAGTTGGCAGTTCCCCATTAACACAACCACCGGTAAAGGATAGTCTACACGCACTACTAATTTGTACACTAAGCTCGAATTTTGGCATCACCCGTACGACTAGAGACAATTTCCATTTCAACCCCACAGGCGCCACACCTGATAAATTGATCGAATTTATATTCCGCATTAATAATATAAAGGTAACATATATTTGAATAATTTGTATTAATTGTTCTTTTATTTAGTAAAATATACTACTATCATACTACTATCATAGTCAATACGAATATCTGTAAAGCGGCATCACACTGTCCGAAATTGACACCATTTGGACACATGATAGAGTGGATGTTCAAATTCGGCTCTGATCGTAAAAACAACGGGCCTTTCGCGAGGGCATCTTAAGCCATGGCACCGATGATCAGACGAAGTAAATACGAAGATGACACGATTTGACAAGATGCATTACAATGGCTTAATGAAGGGCAAAATTAATGGGTATTTTTGGGTATGCCAAAGATTTGCCAGCGCTCACGAAGTTGCTGCCGGAACCTGAAAAATTTTACAGGCGGTCATACGATAGCGTAAGATGCCCGATGGTTTTACGATAAGAGTCGAATTTACGTTATCGTGTAACTGGTGTCAATTTCGAGAGATTATGACGCCCCGTAAAGCATCTTCCTGAGTCAGTCCTCAGCAATTCTACAATCATTGTGTGTCCTGCGGATATAACCTACTATACAAAATTCATATCTTCTTATTACCTTCGTCTGTGATTCGGTCGGGCGCTACCATCGTGTGACGTTCTGTAGGCATCGCATTTTCTGCCGCTGTTGATTGCTTTTCGATTAATTTTGGGGCCATCTTCGCGCTAAATTCAAAATTCCATATTCGCATTATTGGCATCTGGTGTCAATTTCGGGACAGTGTATACGAGAATTTAATCAGGAGTGCGAATTATGGGAAGGTCACGTTTTATTTCGCCCACTTCCGGTTTCCATAAGTCGAAGGAGAAAGTCAACAAAAGACACGAACTGAACGAAGCAAAGATACGAAGTTAAGTATAATTCGATGATACGACAATCAAGCCTTTTGTTGTGTATTCGTGTCTTCGCCATTGTCTTTTTATGGGCGAAGGCGAA